TCAGGGCCAGCTCAGCCCAGCTGCAGAGCTGAGGGACCTGGGTGCTACACAGCACAGACACTGCCAGCACCTCGGGGCAGACTGTGACAGGGCAGCAGGGTGGGCAGGAGCCAGGCCGGGGCCACCAGCCCTGCTGGGGGCAGCACACAGGGGTGCAGAGAGGGACAGGACAGTGGGGCGGTGCAGGGACCCTGAGCTTCTAAGCCTTCTCCAGCTCCAGCCTGCTCCCAGCTCCAGGCAGCCCGCCCAGATAACCAGTGTGATGACAGTCTGGATAATTACAAGTGACCCCATACACAGAGCAATCAGCTTACCTGTCACACCACAGCTCAATATAGCCCTGCTGCCTCCTAAGAAGTGCCATAATCTCTCCCCAGCAGAGCCCCGACAGCCTGAGCACTGCCGGGGGATGCACAGCCCCAGTCACAGCACACACACAGCCCAAGCCTCTCTGATTCATGTATGACATTGATTTTGTCAAGTCTCTGAACTCTTCTTTCCAAAAGCAGCAAACAAACAGCAAACAGTGGCTCCAAAAGCTCTGAATGCCGTTCCCAAGCTGCACCTCTCGCCGCTCCCACGCAGCAACGCGTCTCGGCTCCGGGGAGGAGGCTGGAGGACGCTCAGCTGTCTGCTCTGCATTTGGCACTCAGACTGCTAACACCTCATTTCCTTCTCTGAAATAAATGCAGGACTGAGGATGTGCTGGATATTAGCACTGAACTGCACTGGCTGGAGGTTTAACCTGGAACACCACCACTGTGCAGGGCGCACGGAGGGCGCTTCACCCAGTGGCACAGGAGGAACACTGTGCTTTTCACCCTTACATGCCCACAGGGCCTTGTGCTCTGAGGGACTGGGGGGAAATCCTTCTGTGGGATCACTTCCCAGGATCCAAAGGAAGCTCTGACCACAGCAGACGCGTGGGGTGGTGTTCCCTACAAAAGCAGTTTCTGGCTCTACAGCTGACGCACAGGGAGACTGTCAACCCCCAGCACCCACAACGGCACCACCAGTGACATTTATCCCTTCCCCTAAGGGAGGGGGAAGTGAGCACACAGGTCCCACCCCCCGAGGGAGCACTCCTGCCTGTGCTCAGCTGTTCCACCCGGGGAATCTCCACACCTGTGGTTAATGCACCTGCCCAGAGCTCACTGGTAGCTATGGCAACTCCATCACTGCTTCCCAGGAGCCTTTCACAGGGCACACTCGTCCCTGGCAAGTTTGCCACCCAGAGACTGGGCAGCAGCAGCACAGCACAGGCACTGCCACGCTGCCAGCTGCGACACAACCACACTTGCTTTCATCTTTGCCTTACAGAAATCACAGACTATTCAGAGCTGGAAGGGAACCACAAAGCTCAACAGTCCAATTCCTGTCCCTGCTCAGGATACCCCAACACTGCACCCTGTGCCTGAGAGCACTGGCCAAACACTCCCTGAGCTCTGTCACCTTGGGGCTGTGACACTGCCCTGGGGAGCTGTTCAGTGCCCAAACACCTCTGGGGGAAGAGCCTTGTCCTGATATCCAACCTGACCCTCCCCTGACAGAACTCAATCCATTCCCTGGGTCCTGTCATTGGTTGCCAGAGAGATCAGTGCTGCCCCTGCACTGCCCCTCGTGAGGAACTTATATACAGCAATGAGGTCTTCCCATCAGCACTGTCACCTTCCCACTGCCCTGGAGACTTTGCCTCCAGGAAATACTTCTCCTATAGGATGAAAGCTGTGGTGGGTTAAGGACAAGACAAGTGAAACTCCTGCTCCAAGTACCAGGCTAAAGCCTGCCCCTCCTCACCCTTTGTCGAAGAAGGAGGTGTGCCCTGGGTGTGGGTACTTGGTGCCGTTGCTGTTGATGACGGCGCTGTTGACGTTCCCTGAAATGTAGGATTTCCGTGACGCCTGGTCCTTTGCGAAGTTTCTGCACGCAGCTAATTTGGATTCTAAGGCCTGTGATGGGGGGAAAAAAAAGTCAAAAAAATAACACCGAGAGGAAGTATTTTGCTGCCCGAGGTAAGGCTTTGCCATGACCCCAAGACCACCATGATCAGGGCCCAAGTGTGATCACCTCTGGCAAAAAAAGGGGAACAGAGCTGTCATTTCCTCTGGCACTCAAGCACAGAGGAAACTCGCAGACACTGATGCAGCCTGCCAGGCATTACTCAGCTCCACGAGGGCTCAGATCTGAGAACAGATGAACTCTGAAATAATTACCCAAGATAAGGAAGCCAACTCCCAGCAGATGTTACCAGAACTTCCCACTTTAGTAGCTCCATGAGCTACTCAGAGGACTAAGACAGAGCCTAAAGCAGAATCCTCAAGTTTTGAGAGGGACTGTGAGTTTGAGAAGTTGATTCTGTCACCAGGACAATGTCTCTTGGAATTTCTTTCCCAATCTTGGCCTGCAAATGAAGCCTTAAGCACTGCCATGCTTCAGAGCAGAGGCCAGGAGGAAGCAGAGGCAGCAGCCAAGCCTGTCTCTATGATCTGCACCTCAGCTCTGGTACTGCCAAGCAAGCCTGCTGAGAACCTTTGCCTCATCCACTGACTCACTGCAGGAGGGGGATGAACATCCTGATTCTCTCCTTTTCTCCACAACATCACCTGCCCTTTGTGCCACTATCACAGACAGGCTTATCCTGAATATCCATCTGGTCTAGCAGAAAGCCCTATTTGTCACACCTCCCTGTGCATGGGGACATTCAAACACTTGCAAGCGCACACACTGGAGGCTATAATCCATCTCCCCAAATGTGGGGTTTGGTCCTGTTCCATGCAGAATATTCCACTGCCAGATCACTGACATGACAGGTAAGTGAGCACTATACGGTCTCCTAGGAATCCCTGGAGGTTTACTGAGCACGGACTATGTGGGCAGCCACAGATCACACCTGTCCCCCTGCAACAGCCACTGTGATCTAGGCAGTGACTCCTGCCTCAGCTGCAAGCAGGAGAGCTGAAGGGAAACGTCCTGCAGCGACAGGGAGTCTAAGGCTCGGGATGAGGCACAGCCAAGCCCCAAAGGAGACCGGAACATCCTACAATTGCTGCTGAACAAGTGCCCCAGCTGGAATCCCGTCCCAGTGGCCAGGCTGTGTCCAGGAGCAGGCTGGGAAAGAAGCATGCTTATTTGGCATTTCCTGTCCTTGCAGAGTAATCACATGGGATTGTGGTTAAGCTCCCTAAATCCCCTGCAGACTGTTACTCACAATGATCCCCTTTTAAACATGTCACTCCATAACCCCGAGCTGTCCTGCTGGCCTTTCAAACCCGGGACGAGCTCACTGGCTGCAAAAGGGAGCAGCAAGGCAGTTTTCCATTTCAAACCCTGCTAAAACAACTGTCTGTACTGCAGCTCCTGCCGTGCTCACTGTGGTTACACAGGCACAGAGCAAAGCCAGCATGGGAGCCAGACACCAGGGCTATCCCTGCTTCACTCGAGGCTGGCACGGAGCTCCTCAGAGCTCACAGTCCTGCCTGGGCCAGCCGGAGGGCCTGGCACCCCAAACAGCACTGCAGAGGTTTCAGCCACCTCTCTGCTCACAGGGTAATCCCTTTAAGGGCTCATGCATTTCACTTCCCCACCCACTACAGATGGGCACATTGGCTTTCTCCTGATTGGCTTTCTCCTTTTCTCACCGAGGTTTCTAGATTGCTTTCAATACCTGTGGTAGATCTCCCCAGGCACAGGAGGAGACCCTGGCAGGGTGACCCCAGCTCCTCGTGCAGGTCTCAGCAGGCACCCAGAGCTGAGGCCCTGCTCTGCAGCTTGGTCTCCTGACAGAGGCAGCTGCAGGCCCAGTTAAAGTAGGAACAAGCAGCTGACAGTGTCTAGCCCTGTATGCGTAAGGACTTGAGAGACTTTTAACTCCAAATATGAATTCTGTCAACCCAAATTGGCATCAGAACCATATTCCACTTTAAAAATCAAAATAATTAAAAATACACGATCACATATCAAACACTGAATGTGGGTGACTGGAAACTACAGCAGGTGCTCAGCAGGGGCCGAGGCCGTGTTGAGACACGGGCTCCAGTGAGAGCACAGAGCTGGGAACGCGTCAGAGCACTCACCCCCACTTTCCGTAGCAGATCTCCCACGATGTTGAGTGCAGATATCCTAGCTGAAGGAGTAAGTGGGCTGGTACCAAATCCATTTGGTATAGCTGCAAACACAGACACCAGTCATTACATGCTCCACACCTCCACAGCTCAGCCTTTAAAGCATTTCAATAGATCCACTTCCGTGTGAAAAAGGTGAAGCTAAACTCCCGCTGCAGACACTTGGTACAGCCACTCACACTAACAGCATGATCACCAGCCATGGGAAAATGAAGAGCCTTAACTCCTGCCCTCTTCGCCACTCACCCCATGTGCAGAGTTCATCTGCAAGGCCACTGACCACAATCCATCTAATCCAGCCAGAGCTCCTGCTGGAACCTACTCTTTGGAAAATGATGTAGTAATCCCCGTGGCTCTCCACAGCCTTCCAGATGGGCCAACATCCCACTGCCTCATGGGCAAAACAGACCCCTGCAGAGTCAGTGTGGTGACAGATTCCAGACTGTCCCAGTTCCTGGCCACCCCTCACCCACCCCTGCTGCTTTCCCTCTGAGCAGAAGGGTCAGTCACTGCACTTCCCTGCAATCCCAAATACCTTCAGCGCTCTACTGCAGGCACCTAATGCAGAGGGCAAACCCCTGTCACCCCCAAAAGCAGTCACTAAGCTTCACTGCTCTTCTTGTCCACATTATTTACTCCTTAAATGCACCTGACGGTGCCTCAGGATTTACACACACCTTATGCAGGTGTGTGGGACCTGCAGGTCCCTGCACCCACTTCAGGCTCCCTGAGGAGCACCTGGGCTGACATGGTGAGTTAACCAGCTGGACACGCTGCCAATCAACCACACACAACTCCTACCCACGGTACCTTTTGGGGAAGGAAAACTGTTTTCTGATCCCTTTCCAACGGGTGTAGCTGGCAAGGAGAGAGATGCCTGGACAGCTGAGTCCATCTTCTCACAGTCCAGGGTGGGGGAGCTGGGGGCTGACTTTCGGGTCACCTCCTGCTGCCTCTCCCGCACGGCCAGCTCCTGCCGCAGGTCTGAGGGAAACACAAAACCCACGCGTTAGCAACCGATTTCTCTCTCAAGCACTCTCTCTGTTCAGCTGGGAGGAGGAGGAGACGACACTTGGCAACAATCCTGGATGAAGTCCCTGCTGCTGGTTTATCCTCCTTCAGAGCAGGCACAGCCCAATCCCAGCCCTTCCCATTCCAGCCGGGAGCAGGGAGGCAGCAAACAGCCCTGGCACAAAGAGCCACGTGGTCCCTATTTTCATCACGGCAGGTGACTTTGGGGACAAATCCTGAGGCATTGGCATGGGAGCCCTGTGGAAAGCATGTTACAAATGCCTGCCGCTGCTGCTGCTGCACTGCAGTCAGCCCCTGCTCAAACAGAGGCTGGAAACAACAAGGAATGACCTATTCTTGTTTCCCATTCCCCACATGTTCTTCCAGTTAATAACACCCAGTATCCTACCCTAGCCAAAGACAGTCCAAGGTTGCATCCAGTCTCTTGACACCTCCCTCGACAAGTGGTAGAGAAGACTGGAGAGCCTGGGTAGTCCAAAGGGCAGGGAAGGAGGCCAGAGATCAGGAAGGCCAGGTTTTACCCTCACCTCCTCTCCAGACTGCAGCTTATCCCTGCTCTGATCCCTGCCATTTCCACACGTGGGTGCTACAAAGAGCATCCAGCACAGCTCAGCAATGAACCCACAGGTCCTCAGAAGGGTCCAGATGCAAACAAGCACTACTAGGGAGTTGTTCCTCTTTGGGCACAGCAACTTAATCTGTCACAGACCTCTTACCCCCTGTCTCAATCTGGTACAACAAGAGCAAAATTAATTGCACATTACAGCTTTCAAGCTATCATAAATATTTAGGACTAATTCTGGATGAAACAGCACAGCTGAAATGAAAATACATTTGGCCTCCCAGAAGAGGATTTGAGGCTGTTCAATCAGAAATGTTATATTTGATTTTGACATCATATCAGTTCCTTTAGTAGCTCCTGTTCCTGCCTGTTGTCAGGGGCAATAACATGCAGCTCTGTTACCCTAACAAACACTCAAAATTTCCAAATGACTCATCTCAGAAACAAGACGTCTGTTTTGCTGATTACTCCAGTCTTCCAGAAAAATCCCCTGGGTTCTGCTGTTTCTCCAGTACTATTGCCCTGATCTCAAATTAGAGTACAAATATTGCCTCAAAAATACATGGATTGTAAAATTTCCCTCATCATATTTACTACAAACCCTGTGCTGCCAGTAAAGGTTGATTCATGGGGCACAAACCCAACCCAAAGAGATTCGCAGAGGAGTACAAGAAGTCCCAGGCCGCTCTCAGGTGTTCTGTCTTACACTCAGGGCCAGGCCCGAACTGAGGAATCACTTTAGAAAGCTTCACTGGGAAACAGAGGTGAAACCCACTAATCAATGAGCACATTCATGGTGGCACAGGCTTATGAGCAGATCACCTCCACTACCAGAGAAATCAGGGTCCACTAGCCATTAAAAAATGCTCCCCAGCATCCTCAATGTGAAATCAACTGGGAATTCCCAACTCCTGCTCACATCCTAGAACACTATCCCAACACTTCTGATCTCACAGGTCTAAACACATTCTTGTATCTTAAATAACCCAGGCAATTTCCAAGAGGCTTAGAAGGAACACAAGACACAGGATTTTTCAAGACAGTTACTTAAGCATTTATCCTGCATTTCCCTCTCATTTCCTGTGCTTTCCTTTCCTACAAATGGCACAAAACCCCAGCAAGAGGAACTTTTGAAGCAAATTTCCTCAAGTCCATTATATTTGTGGAATATAGTATTTTTATACTCACCTGTGTTAAAACCCCTGAATGAATCTGACATTAATTCTGCCCTACATGAGGAAACTTCCTCTTGGCTCCACTGGACATACAAACAACACAGTTAGCAATACACATCCAGGTCAATTCTTACCATGTGAGGCTTTCTAGAAACATGAGCTTTGGTTGCTGCATGTCTGTTCTAGCAAACCACCACTGCACCGAGACACAGACCCACTCACCTCTGGCTTCATCCTTTAATCTCTGTACAGAAACCAGCAATGACTCCTTGTCATCCAGTTCGCTTTCCAAAAAGGCATTTCTCTCAATAGCTTGGTTCAGCCTTTGTTCAAAGTCTTCCAATGAAACTATTGTTGCCCTAGAAACAAAATCCAGAATATTAGGTTCTTCAGTTCAGCCAACATAAAAGCGTATTCAGAAGCATAACAGAGGGAAAATGTTAGCAGGGCCTACGTTCAAGTCAGGCATTTGAAAGCTATGGAAATACTTCTTAGAAAGGACTAATCAACTCCACAGAAACAGGAGAAAGAGATGAAAAGAACATGATAGCATCTGGCTCTCAGAGATGCACCAAAGACCTGGGAAAGGAGCGGGCCAGTGCACCTTCTCCAACTTTCCCAAGCACTGCTCCAACGGACACATGCTCAGGTGGGGCTGTGCCCCAAGAGCTCTGCCCAGCCAGGGCAGAGAGCAGGGCACTGGGATGCTACCCAAGATCCAATTTCTTGCAAAGGTAGTGTCAAAAGTTAGGCATGAGGTTCAGAGCCTTGTGGAAACAGGACCTCAGCTCTCAGACCTTTGTGTCCAGATGGCCAGAGGCTCATTCCTGGTCTCCCCGAACCAATGGCAGAATTCCCATTCAGAAGGGAAGCATGAGCTACTTCCAAACTGGGCGTTTCCAGCAGAAGCCTCTTCATTTTAGGCATTTATAAAGGACATGATTGTTCCCTACAGCTGTTCTGCAAGGGAGGAGGAGACTCCTTTGGCCTGTTTTATTTAAAAAGGACTATGTAAAGCATTAGCTTTGACTTCAAAAGGGCTTTGAGCTACCAGGACCACAACAAGTCATCCAGCTGGTGGTATCAAAGGCAGTGCAGAGACCTGGCTGGCTCTGAGCCTGCTTGCATGGCTTGTTCCTCAGAGGAGAGGGAGACACCTTGTCCCACTGCCTCTCCCACTGATGGAGATGAGCTCCAAGGGTGACTGCACTGTCCAAACAATCCGGCATCTTGGGGTTGTTTGGGTTTTTTTGAATGTTGCTCATTTTCCCTTTGAAGGACTAATAAAATGATCAATCTGAGTAGCAAAGACCTAGTGCAAACTTGAAGGGAAGAAGAGGTTTGCAGCCTTCACCTCTTTGCACGCTCCAGGTCATCGTTGGCCTGCTCCAGCTCCCTCACATACTTGTGCAGCTGATCCTTAATGGCTCGTGTCTGGCTCAGGTCATCCTCTAACAATGACACCTGCTTGTAACTCTGTGCATACTGGTGCTCCAGTTTCTCCTGAAAGAAAGAAGCAGTGAGATAAATATCAGCCACAAACGCTCTCCAAGTCATCAGCAGTAAAATGGGACAAAGAAAGGAACGTGCTCTTTGTAGGCTGCTGGTTTGGGACTGCTGGTTATACAGAGCAGAAACAGAGAGGTGGAAGGAACAGGCTGTGAACATCAGAGCTGGACACAGCACAGGATCACAGACACTGCTTTGTGCACAGACATCTCACCATGGCACAGCTGGCTCAGGGATGCATCCCTGCATCTGTTCCTAACAGCCTGCACTGGCAGCTGCTCCAGAGCCTCGGACACCCAGGGAGCCAGAGAAATCTAACTGTACAGCCTCCTCTCCACGCTTCCCCCTTGACAACAGTCACACTGACACCAGAAATTGCCTGACATGTCCAATAGCAAAAATGAGAACCACAGGAATCTGTTACAAAACCTCCAGTCCAGAAACTCACCCTTGGAAGCCTGGAAGGATTCCCTGCTAAACACTGCCTGCCCAGCTCTGAGGGCACAGACAGGGGTCTATGGAGAAACCACTGCCCTCAGACAACACACGCTGACCTTCCTGGTACAGCTGGGACTGGATATGCAAAGCAATCCCATAAACCTTCTTTCCACTGGGAAAATTTCTACCCTGTGTCTCCACTAAAATAAGCCAAGACTATCCAAAATGATGCTTGTCTAAGATTCCAAAAGAGGCAAGAACTTGATAACACAGAGACATCAAAGCTTCCTCCTGCACATGCAGACCCTTATGCAATCCTGGATACTGCTGCTAAGCACGAGGGAGATGTGCACAAATCACCCATCCTCAGCTTTCTCTGGAGCCTCATAAACCCACGGAGACCTTCTGGGCAGAAAGACTGGTTTGCAAGGAAAGATGACAACGCAGTGGCCTGACAAAACATAACTGTGTTGTCCTCCCTGTTGCTATGCTGCTGTTCTCTGTGTATCTAATAATGCTCAGACTTGGCACAACCTCGAGACTCCAAACGAGCACAGACTCCATCACAAGGGTTTCATGACGTGAACAAGAAAAGTTCTGCCAGAAATTTCCCTGGTAGTTTTTGGCCTTATTTGGAGTAAATCCCATACTGCGGTGTGGATCTTCAACAGACAACTCCTTTACTCCATTTGGCTATTTAGTGATCAAGAACAGAGCAGACAATCTACAGGGAGATCCAAGACCTGTAAGAAGAAACACTGTTACAAAGACCTACCTTTAAAGTCTCCACTTCATACTTCAGTCTTTGGTTATCTGCTTGTAAATCTCTATTCCTCTGCTCAGCTTGCACTAGCTGTGCCTCCAACTCAGCCTCTAACTCTCTGCTTCCCTCCTGGAATTCAGCCAGCTCTTCCCGAGCCTCCTGGAAGCTGTAAGGAGAGACTTCATCAGTGAAAAAGCCAGTATCTCCCAAGGCAAAGCAAAATCCATAGCTCTTCTGAAATAAAACCCTGGAAAAATAGGGGTTTTAACATCCCTAAATGCCATCCACAGGCCTCTAAGGGGGAGAAGATGGGCAAACAGAGAAATCACATTAAGCTTAGCTATAAAAGGGAATTAATTCTCTTACCTCAAGCCCAACAGCTACCTTGAACGTGTGAATAAAAACCTGCATCAAGGCTATTTACAGGAGTCATGTGAGCCTGAGAACCACCTTGTGCCCCATTAGCTTTCACTGCTAACAGACTTGCTAGACGCAGTGAACTAAGCAAACATTTAACCTGATTTCGGCCAAAAACTGTTAGAGAGAACAACAGTTTCTGTGTCTCTGCACTGCCTGGAAATTTTAGGTTCTTAAAAATCACGAAGGTTTGATGTTGAGGGTTAGGGAGCACCTGGGCAGGAAGCCAGCACATACCTACCTCACACCACTGCGGGTTATTAAACTCTGGAAGTAGCCACTCCACATGCTTTGCTTATTAAATTTGCATCCTTACTTACCACAGGGAATGGCTCAGCCCTGAGCAAGCACAGAGAAAACCAACAAGGCTTTAGGAAACAACATACCCACTGGTGTCTCAGACAGAATTCTATGACACCCAAGAACAGCTTAGGGACCTACACATGGACAAGCCCCTTCACATGCCCAACTCCTCCCTCCCAAAAACGCCCCAAACCAATCAAAAAAGCAACTTGCACTTTGGGCTTGAGAGAGGTTTAACTCAACTGCCTGAGTTACACAGAATGGAAAGAAATCTCTCCTGAAAACCTCCTCCAATGCCTCCCACTCCATTAACACCTCAAACCACTCCTCAACTCTTGTCACTTTTGATGAGCAGAAAGCCTTGTGCCCCTCAAGGATGCAAACTTCTGGTATGGGCAGGACTGGGAGGTACCGTACACTTCATTAAACTGCAGGAGACACCAAATCAGGCACTTCTCATACCAGTAATTCCACTACAAGAAGCTTGAGGGAACAGTAATGACACAAGGCAAGCCCAAAGGCGCCTTCTTGTGATAAAACAGCAACTTAAGGCAGCACTTTAATCGTCCAAAGGTGCACGTGATCGTAAAAGGCTCTGCTCTTGCTCAAACATGCTCAAAACATAGCCTGGAGTTCCTGGCACGGTGACACTGAGCAAGAAACACTCAGCTCCCACAAAGCTGGAAGTTTTAAAGCTAGGAATCCTTTACAGAGAATTCTCTTTTCAGAGACTCTTTCTAAAATATCTCACACCCATCTTGGTTTAGCCTTGCAGAGAAACAGACTCAACCATGTTGTGATCATTAAGAGCAAAATCCAGCCTGCAAACCCACAGTACCTCTGCTTGTACTTCAAGGAAAGCTCTTTCCAGTAGGCAGTTTCCTCCTTTGGACTCGAGAAAGTTGGAATTTCTTCACTGTCCATGATCAAGATGACCTGCAGGGTACAAACAGGAACACACTGAGGATAAACAGGCAGGCAGCCTGACCCCAAACCCACTGCTAAATCCCGGGATTCGCTGCCACAGCCTTTCCGAGAGCCTTGGCAGCAGCACACTGGATGTTAACGATCCCTAACAGCACAGACCTGCCCCAACGAGCCATGTGATTTTACCTCAGGAAAGGCTCCTGCAGCAGCCTGAAATGAAACCAGACACTTTGGCTGCGATTTGTACCTGCCACCAAAACACCAGTGAATGCCACACACACACTGCAGCCACTGCTGGTGGTGCACTCAAATTTACAGCCACCAGCTTCCACTTCTGTTCCTGAAATGTTCTTAAAGGGATTTTTGCCTCCTGTCACCAACACAGTAACGTGCACTACAACAGCTATTAGAGCAGCAAAGGTGAGTAATGAAGCAGGATGCACTCTGAGGCAACTGCTAACAGCTCTGCGGTGCAGAACAAAATTCAGTTTACCTTCCCGGTGTCGAGTCCTAGCTAATTCCTGCTTGTCTGAAACACGCAGGTAACAGAGGTGATTCATGTAGTTTTGCTCCCTTTGTCCTCTCAAACAGAACAAAAGAGATCAGCCTCTCATAAACTGGCATCGTCAGGTCACACAGGAGTGTTTCCAGCCTGGAGGTGTTCAGAGCAATTTCCCACACCAAGGCAGAGATGACCCTCTCTCCATGAGCACCTCCTTTCCTGGACCACTGGATGCCACTGGCATCACTGCTGGGCTACCAGCCAGCACAAGAAACACAACCCACCATAGACTTTGAGAGCTGGGAGCAACACACGGTCCAGGGGACATAAGACACTCGAGACCTTGATACACACCAGGCCTCAGAGCTGATGAAGGTGACGACGTGGTGACCATGGCTCTGCCATGCACAGCAGGACCAGGAGAAGTGTCCAGACCACAGCCAGGAGAAGCACCACCCTGTGCACCACTGCTGAGCCCTCCCCAAACAATCCCACAACTCATGTACATCTTTTCTTCTCCTTGAAAGTCAAATTCTGTCATTAACATCCAGAAAAAGAATAAACCAACCTCCTGTGTGCTTAAAGTAGAGGCTGTAAACAATGCTCATTGACCAGGAATAGCTGACCCAGAAGTCCTGACTGCCACACTCTAACAGGCATCACTGTCCCTTCTCAGCCAACTCTGTCCCTTCAGGCTAAAACTGTCACACTAATATGTCCTGCATCTCTGTGACCCACATTTTAGACGCCTGTAAGTGGGACAAAACAATCCCATGCTTTGGTCCGAGGGCAGCTAGGCTGGCATTCTGCTCACAGACACTGAGGCAGAACTGGCATGTCGGTTCTCCAGCTGAGCCTGCAGCTGCCACAAGAGTGAATTTATCCGGAGGGTGTCAAGCACCTCCAAGACACCCTAACGCTGCACTTTACAGCTTTATTGTAAAAGCAAATTTGTCAGGAATCAGATCTCCACGCTGCCCCAGAGACCTGACAGTGTTTCATTTGCTGTACTGCTCTGCCCTGAGACCAACACACCTGTGGGGCCACCTGATACAGGATCTCAGACAGATATCTTTGGCAGTACTTCCACCAGCACTCACAGCTGTCACCACGGCAGCTCAGCCACACCACAGGGACATATCCCAAGGCCTGTGCAGAAGACTGATCCCAGTGGATGTGGAGCTCACGGATCACTGCCCGAACTGTGGCTGCACCACGGGTGCACTGAGGTGAGGCTCAGGCACATGTCTGGCAGCTCCTGGACAGCAATTGCCAGGGCAAGGCAGAGGTGAACAGCTCAGGCACTGCTGTGTACTGTGCATAACACTGCTCTAGTACTGATCAATCCCCTTCCACAAACGCCTTTGACCTTTCCCTGTCTCGCACTCTGCTCCAAAACGGCACTCCAAAAGGCTCAGATCAGCAGGGAGCACATCCTCCCCAAAATAAAGGGGACAAAGCATAAAGCTCAGCTCCCACAGCTCCAGAGGAGCTGAGCTCCAAAGGTGAACAGCCACCGCCAGCAAAACTCAGGACGTGCTCAGAAAAAAGCTTGTACAAGGAAGCATCTTACATCATTTCCTACTAGTAACTGAGACAAGGCCCAGGACTCCTTCCTGTCTGCTAACACAGGCACACCCATGGAAATAAACACCCAAGGAGTCCCTGCAAGCACAGCACTCTGCAGGAACAGGAAGGACTGCCTGGGACCCACAAGGGCAGGAGGAATTTCTCCCCCACACTCCCTTGTCCAAAGACCCTTCCCTTTGAGACATCAGAGGGAGGAGATTCAGCCCTGTGCTGCCCCAGACCCCTTCCCACTGTGAGCAAGCTGACTTTTCCCAAGCCTAACATCCCTTGCCCTCCTCGGTTAAGCAGGCAATAGCTTATGATTGCCCATGCTCCACGTCTCCCATCATGCCCAACATCATCAGCAGGGACTCTGGACGTGCTGAGTGCCCTGCACAAACCCCTGCCCCAGATGCCAAGGCCAGCGAGTGCTGCTGAGCCCCAGCATCCATGTCCTGGGTTTGTACAGAGCTGGATCACCCGTCTTCCCTTGAGTGCATGAGGGGCAAGAGAAAGAGGTTGGGGCTCACATACAGACTGTGCAAACACAGTGGTTCACACCAGAACACCAGTCTGAGGGCTGGGAGGTGCACAGAGCTCCCAAGTGTGGCACCAGCTCACACCTGGCACAGGTACATCACTTCGCCTGGCCAAGCCTTGCCCATTCCCTCGGTCGATGGCACTGGCACAGGGACTGCTCCGAGCCCAGGGACGTGCCCACAGCCAGACAGCTGTGCCCGTCCCACGTGTGGGAGAGGATGCCCACGGAATACCAACAGTGCACAAAGCCTGCCTGGCTGAGCCCGGCGCCGGGAATTCCGGGAGGAGCTGAGAACCAGCACGCAAGTCCTGCCTATGCACGGGCTCCTTCGCATACGTGGCACTGGCAGAACTGAGCCTCTGACAAACAACACTGACCCTTTCAGGACGTGGCCAAGACAATGCAGCAGCGTCTTCCCGGACAAATGAGAGCTGGCTCAGGCTGCTGCACACTCGAGTTCACTCCAACACAACTTAGCATTCACCCAGCGCCCTGGGAAAACAGCTCTGCGGGCACCACTCCAGCTCCGGAGCAGCTCCCAGACAGGAACAACGTTCAAAGCTTGGGGGCTCCTTCCAAGCCCCCCCCAAAGTCAGGGGGACAGAGCAACTCTCCTCTGTGGAAATGAAAGAACTTAGCCACGCTGCAATTCCTCTAAAAAACCCATAGTGTGTAGGTTAAGAATTTGCCTAAATCCTGAGGGCTTTCTACAGGACAAATTTGTTTTCTTGCCTCCAGAAGCATCCTCACAAGTGAGCTGTGCCATACCCTCTGGGTACCACAAGAGCCAAAGGCTGAAACACACAGCAGAAGTAACTAAACTAACACACAGTGTTTTTCAAGTACCCTAAGTAATCTTGCATTCAAGGCCAAACTGAACTCTCTCTGGAGCCTCCTTCCAGCTAAGCCATGGAAACACAAGAACAGCTTGAAGTGTAACACAGTACCTTAAAAAAGCTTCCTAGGCTCTCCATGTGACAGGAGGCTGCTGTTAAGGTTTGGATGAAATCTAAGACCAAAATACTAAGCTTGAAACACAACATGGTGTTTCAACTTCTCCCCATCCCTTCCCACAGCCAGGAATCCACACCTCCCTGCTCTCAAAGGCAGCTCAATCACCGACACACCACGTTAAGAATGATTTCAAGCACTGCTCAGAAGCTGCAGCAGTTCACCCAGGATGCTCCTGCAGCATCTCAAGGGCCTGGATAAACCATTCTTCTCGATTTTAATTGCCTCATACTCTCCTAGTTAAAACTAGATTGTAAATGTGGCCACATAAAGGGAATTAATATTACTTAATGTTCATGAGCAGGTCATTTTTCTATGCATTTTTCTTCCTCACAGTCCTATTTGCCCAACATTCTCAGACAGCAAGCAGGAAAAATTGAGCAGAGGCAAAGCAAGGCCACCCAAACACAACAAACCACAGCACAGAACTGCCCCATCTGTGCTCTGCTGACCCCCCAAGGCAATGCAAGCGTCCACCGACCTCTGGAATTAAACAAGTGATCACCTCCAACAGGACTCAATCAAGGAGTTCTGCCAAGCTCACATGGGGCTTTCAGCTCTGCAGATAACTCACTGCGGCTATCACAAAAGTGCCCAGAGCCTCTTGGCTGACGCAGTCCTGCCCTGTTCCCAGGAATGACTCTGTCACCGAGTGCTGGCACCATCCAGAGCTGCCACGCAGAGCAGGAAGGACTGTCCACAACCAGCTCTTCTGCCACTTCCCATTTTATGCTGATTCACAGGCATAAAAGCAGAAGAAATCTCTTTTCCACCATTCTTCACCTTTTCAAACCATGAGAACCGACAGGCAAGCCCCAAACCCCTGCAGCTCTTGATACTTTTCCCCAACCCAATCAAGACTCAAAGCAAAGGTACCTGAGCACTCCAGCCAAAACTCAAAGCAAATATGCACTGGCTTTCACTTATCAGAAGATGGAAATCAAACAAACAGAAGCCATGGATTAGATTTCACCCATCAATTTGTGCTTGTTTTGCTCCCCCTGACATCGGAGCCGGCAGCATTTCCACACGCATGTTGGCCTGCAGCCAGCGCTGCTCCAGGAACTCAACCTCTGCCTTCTCCTGCAGGACTATTTTTGAACTGAATGTTCTCGAGTGAACCACAACAAATACCTCCTTGCCTCTTCCAACAGCAGCACAGGAGCTTTCAGGAGGAGAAGAAAGTCACAAAGCACAGCGTCAGCACAACACTCCTCGCTCTGCTGCAAGAATAAATCCTGCATGCCCAGTGTGGACAGCACAGGAAGCAGGAGATAACCAAATCCTACCTGCAGGAGCTTTGTGCCAAGTTCAGACTAAAAGCCTTTAAGATAACCAAGCACCATCCAGTAAGGCCTCGTTATCTCTGCAGCTTCATTAATC